TCAAAACAGGAAACAAGCAATAGCAAATGACAAGTGAATGAATATGAAATGATGGAAGCATGAGATTCTAGACATGATAGTTGGCTATGGTGCATTGGTGCTAAACTAGAAATGCTAATGACAATAATGAAACATGATTCAAGTGATTTACGATTCTAATCAAGCCATAATCTTTCCCAAGCATCAAGACACAAATCAAGCCATTTCACATACCCAATCATCATTGGAGATCAAACAACAAGACAGCATTAAGAATCAATCCTAAGTGATCATTTATGCAAATAACAAACATCGTCATGACATTAATGCATAAACCTCTAATATAGCTCTTTCAGGAATTTAATCAAACACTTTTGGTGCATGAAAAACCTAGATTCTACATCACAAGTGATGTGAAAGGATCTAGCATAGAGATCAGCTATTTAGAGAAATGAAAACATGGATCTAGCCCTAAGTACTCCTAATCTAACACTTTTGCACTCTAACCTACATATCTAGAACCTCATTAAGCAAACTACTCACTAATCATACTAATCTCTCTTAAACCTTTGTAAATATAGTAGATTGGCATGATTAATGATGATAAATGAAGATGGAGAAGATAGATAATGATGGATTGCAGCTTTAAACACAAAAGATTCTTGATCTCTCTTGATTAAAACACACAAAAGTAGATATCTCTTACAAAAAGAAAGTCTTTTCACAAAAGAGGCAAGGAAATTAGAGAGAATAAAGCTTAGTCTGCTGGATAATGTCTAAAACATATATATAGGTAGGGTTTCTTGATGGGCCAACCTGAACAAACTATGTATTGGTCCCAAAAAGGCCCATAAAAACGTCTTTGTTCGATAATGTATCGAGGTGAAAGTGGTCGTTGCAGGACCAGACTTCTCTCGGTGTGGCATCTCGGTGCAGTTTAAAGAGTTGCTTCAGGGGATCAATACTGAGTAGAATTCGTTCGGTGCAGCATCTCAAAAAACTGTCGGCTTTTTAACCTTCCAAAGGCTAGCGAAAAACGTTAAGGCTCCATGGTCATATCGACCAGATCTTGATCGGTATTTCTTCTCGATATGAATGTAAACCGCTTGCACAAAATCCTTCATAACTCCTTGCTCACTGGTCCAAACCTTGATCTTCTAACTCCAGAAACCAGATGACGCATTGGGCTCCAACTTCGGTGAAGGGCTCGAGCCCGTCTGACGTTGGCAAGGCCTTCGTCTCGCCGGTTCTTTGAGGCATATCGCATGAGTCTTGATAGGTCTGCGAAATATGTATGCCTTCTGGTTGCGATATCTCCATGCTCACGGCTCTAAATCGTCTAATTCTACGTGTTCCGGAAACTAGACTCATCCCTCTTGATTCTTGATGAAGACACCGGAGGCCGGATCGCAGTGAAAGTCCTCCGTCTCACACAATCTTGTAGAGGTATTGTCAGCTACAAAGCATTTGTCCAAGTTTCTGCACACTGGTGAGGGTTCCTCCATTATCCCTGCTCCAAGTTGCTCCCAAAAGCCTCCAAATGACCTGAGAATACTCCAAAAATGCAGGACACTCTAGGACCTAATGCAATTCCTAAACAAAGCAAGAACCAACGACAAACTCTAACAAAACTATCTAAATATATGCATGAGACTCAATATTTGGACAAAAATGCAATCCTAAACATGGCAAAATATGAGTATATCAACTCCCCCAGACTTGTCCTTTGCTTGTCCTCAAGAAAAAAAATCAAATGAGAAGAAGGATGTAGTTTGGGGAGTTCACATTTCCTATGGGAAGAGAGAGTTAACCACAAAAAGAATTCACATTCAATGTCCAAGTTGCTAAGTCTAAAATGCATGCATGACCTTACTTAGTGCATCAAGTTCAAACCAGGATCTCCACAAGTTCTCATTTCCCTCAGCCCTTTAACATTCATTAATCAGTAACCAAGTGAATCAAAATGATGCATACTCAAACAAACATGCTTGGCCAAGGGATGAGGTTATGAGATAAAAAATGATCTTGTTATATCAACATGTGGGTTCAGCTCAGCACAAGGGATCTCTCAATGAATGATCAAACTTTGGCAAAATACTAAAGGTAAAAGGCTACTAATGCATACAAGGGCTAGAATTCATTACCCAGATGCCTAAGATGCTCTAAACTACCCTCTCATGAACCTCACATTCTCTCTTATTCATTTCTCTCTCTCTCTAAGAGTTTTCTTTTCATTTACAATCATTGGTTCTTGTGATCTTTCTTTACACTTAGCTCTCTTTTCTTATTTGATTCATCTAACCTCTCACTTTCTTTTTTTTTTAAACACATGAGCCTTTGGCTTCTTTTCTTTTCTTTACACAGAGGTTAGAAGCTTTTTCTTTTCAAAACACTTAGAGCTTTCTTTTCCATTTTTAAAAAACACAAGACCCAACACCTATTTCTTTTCTTTTAAAGCCCTTAGCTCTCATCACTCCCATATTCACAACTCTTTCTCTTTTCTTTCTCAAAAATCTTTTCTCTCAAAACTCTCACTTAAAGAAACCTCTCCCCCACACTTATTTCACAGCCTATACCTAGTAGTTCCTTGATGTTGGAACTAATTTACATAAAACCTACCCCTTGTCGCTAATAACCTAATTTGTTAAATTTGATCCAAGGTGGCCTCTCAATTCACACACAAATATTGGCTTGAAAGAAGGGGTTTTGGTTTAAGGTGAGGTAACTGCTCCAAAGATAGGAGTCAGCTATCTGAGCTAAGGAAGAGAGTGGTAAAAAAGGGGTTTCTAGCTCAGATATGTATATGCTATCCACGTGGTTATTCAAGCATGCATCATATGATAATTGCATTGTCAAGTTCAGGGTTATCACTTTAACTAGGGCTAAGTTCAATTCAAACTTGTATCAACAATCTCACACATTCTCAAGTCATGAAAGCATTAAAGACCTAACAACTTGGGAATTGAATGAAACTCTTAATGTGATGTTCTCTCAAGGAAACCTATCATTACTCCCATGCAGGTGATCCTATATGAATGCAATCCTAGACACAATCTAAAATGTGAATGCAACTACATAAGCATTTTTTGTGAAATTTTTTCAGATTTTTCAACTTTTTTTTTGTTTTTATATGCACTTAGATGAATGCAAAATAAGACTCAAGAGTGAAAAAGAAAATAAGATCAAGAACAAACATGGTTACCAATACTGAGCTCCTCCCCCACACTTTAATAACACAGTCTCTTGTGTTATAAAAGCATAAGAAAAGAGTATAGATCAAGCTCAAAATGCAGAATGAGAAAAGAAATAAAATGCAAAATTCTATGTACAAGTTGGAGTGTTACCTTCTCTAGGACTGAGAGATGGGGCTGGAGGATTGACTACACCGACCTCCTGTACGGAGTGAAATCACCTTGGTGTGAGGCATCCTTGGCCATCTTTTGTTCCACACCGACGTCCATTTGCTCGATGTATCAGGTCGATATTTTTATCCTTATCCATCTTTGTAAGCACCACTCTTTGAGTATCAAAGTCACCTTTGTAAGCACCACTCTTTGAGTATCAAAGTCAATCCTAGCACCAGTGGTATTGAGAAATGAAGTTCCAAGCAGTAGGGGGAGCTCTTTAATTTTCTTCATCTTCATGATAACAAAATCAGTGGGAATTATGCATTCTCCAACCTGTAGTGGATAGTCTTCTAAGAGCCCATATGGTTTCTTGGAGTAGGAATCTCCAAAGATGATAAAAGAAGGGTAGGGCTTTAGAGACTTGACCCTTAACTTCTCCATCATGTCCTTATACATTATACTAACACTTGAGCATGAATCACACAAAGCATTCTCAACTCTAAAGTTTCCAAGAGTGCAAGAGATGGTAAACTTCCCTGGATTACCCAGCTTTGGAAAAGAGGTGGGCTTCACTATTGCTGAATTAAGGCTGGAGATTCCATCTTGGGGACTTTCTTGATCTGTTCTCAGCCCCTTACCCTCAGTACCATCTGCAATTTTCTTGTCACTAGCAAAACAAACTGCCTCCTCACCTTCTTTCTCAGTGTCCTCATTGAGATCAGAGAACATGCTCACAAAGGCTTCTATAATGGCGTCTTCTTCTTCATTGGTGGAAGTTAATTCATCAGAGACTTGACAATAAAGAAGTTGTTCAATTTCTTGAATAGCAGCAATGTGATCATCACTTGAGTATATGACATTGCAATAATCCTTGGGGAAGAGAGCCTTGAGTTTCAGAAGTGGAGACGCTTTTTTTTTTTGAAGAGTCTTGAGTTCTGAGCCTAGTATCTCCATCTTAGAACTCAGGTCATGACACTTGGATTCCATCATTTGTTGTTCTTGTAAGAGTTGTTGGAGAACAACATTGAGATCAGGTCCTTGTTGAACTAGTGGTGGACCAAATTCAGGAGGTGGTGGCCTTTGTTTCTGGAAGCTGAGTTGGTGAGCTATTCCCTTGTTGCTGAGATGTAGGCTGCTGAAAAGCTTGTTGACCTTGGAAGTTACCTTAGAACTGAGTTCTTTGAACAAAAGCTTTGTTGACCTTGTTGGGGAGGGTATACTTGATCTTTGGGATTGGCTACATTGGTGCTTCTATAAGACAAGTTCTGGTTCTTGTTGAAGTTGTTGTAACCTTGAAACTTATTCTGATTCCCTATGTAGTTCATCTCCTCTTGTGAAAGGCCATCTTCATTGATGTTCTGAAAGCTTGGAGACTCATCAAATTCACCAACATAATGGATTGGTTTTTGAGAAACCATTTTCAGCTTGTCAAGTTCACTTCTCAGCTCCTTAACTCCTCTAGTAAGCCTTTGCTCTGAGCTTGAACCATCTGATATGTTTGTTCTGTCATAGTCCTCACCATATATGTCATTATACATAGCCAGATTCTCCACAAGTTCCCTAGCAGCTGTAATCTTTTTTGCCAAGAAATTACCATTGGAGGCTGTGTCTAATTGGTTTCTTATCTGTGGTAGTGCTCCTCTATAGAGTGTGGAGAGTAGAGAAGCTTCAGAAAAGTCATGATGTGGACACTGATTGGTGTAGCTTCAAAACCGCTCCCAAGCTTCCCCAAAGTTATCATTATTATGTTGTTTGAAGCTTGATATCTGGTTCCTTAGTTTAGCTGTCCTTGAGGTAGAGAAAAACTTTGATAAGAAGGCAAGCTTGCACTGCTCCCAAGTCTGTATTGATCCTCTAAGTAGGTTCTTCTCCCATTGGTGTGCCTTGTCTCCTAAACTGAATGGGAATAACCTGAGCTTGAAACTGTCTTCAGATACACCATTGATCTTAGTTAGATCACACACCTTGTCAAATTGATCCAAATGCTCCAAGGGATCCTCCATTGGTAAGCCATGGAACTTAGATTTCTGCACGATGTTGAGCAAAGAAGCCTTCACCTCAAAGTTATTATCTCTTGTGACAAAGGTCAATCATACACATTTCTATTCTAGTTCCATGCAGATTGATAGCACCGATTTTGACCACTTTTCACCATTGATTTCAAATGCTTTTTCAAAGATTTTACTTTGTTTTAGGAACTTTTATTATGATTTCCATGTATTTGTAGTTTCAAGGCTCTTTTGAGGAAACTTAGGGAATATGATGGCAAAATAGAAAAAATCCACATTAAAGCTCAGAGTCAGACCGTCAGAAGTACAGCCTCAAATGAAGACTTTTCCACCGTCCGATCCAGCTCAAATTTGGAGACAATCAAGAGGAGACAACCAGCTTTCCAGACCACTTTACATCACAAAGATCCAACGGTGAAATCAAATGATACATGGGGAATAAGTTGACCCAGTTCACCAGTCCCAGAAGACTCTCACCCGCGGCAAAAGCATGTTTTACCTGCCCTGGAAGATTGTCACCCCCGGTGGACCTTAGGACGAGCCACAAGGCCCAAAATCAAAGCCCACTTCGCCATTCCTCTTCAGAGAAGCCCTAAATGAGACCTGGAAGACCTTAGGGCCTATAAATACATTGTTTAGCAGCCCTAAACGGGTGTGTGCTCCTGTAATGAGATTTTGAGCCACCAAACTTTGTTTTTCTAGGGTTAGGCGATGGAGATGGAGATTCTTCCCAGATCCATTGTTCTTCCTCCTTTTTTATCTTATTAACTTTTCTGTTTCATTCTTTTGCATTCTTCTATGTCTTTTATCATTCAATGCATCATGTAGATTAGTCCCAGAGAGTCAAGTTGTTAGCCATATTTTGGATCTCATCTCTTCTAAGTCATTCGTAAAGCATGAGAGTAGATTCATAACCTATTCTCTAAGCCTAGGATCGATTAGAGCCACGAGAGTGCTGTATCAGATCATCCATATCTAGCTTCAGAAGAACATAGTCGCTATAGGAGTCAAAAGCTACCTATAGAGAAGATGTGAGCAGACGAGTTCAGTGTTCATAGCATGATCTTAAGTTTAGCATGAGAGCGAGAGTTAATTTCTAGATCTAAGAGATTAGTTGATTAAGGTGACGACAGTTGGTTAATCATACATGTGTCTATTCTAGTTCAATGCAGATTCCCAAAAACAGATGAAGATAAATCGTCTGGAAGCTAGTTGGAAATGCCACCATACATCAATTAGAGTAAACCGGAGAAGTCTAAATCGCCACCTATGAATTTAAGAGTCTTTAGTTTGAGTCGATATGCTTTAGATGTTCTTTTAACAATTCATCCTGCATTGCATCTCTTGTGAATATTAGATTTGGTTTAGTTTTGGATCTTAACAAAAAAAACCCCAAATCTTTTATTGGTTTATGATTTGCTTACTTTCCAGTTTGTTGTTTCTTGCAGATTAGACATCCTCCCTATGGATCGACACCCTAAGTCCTACAACGTACATCTGTGCACTTGCAGACACCAGAGTTTTATAATTTTTAAACTTTTGGAGGACCAACGGGCTTGTTAAAAAAACAACCCTAGGCCCACAAGCCCACCAAGTTTTTGGCACCGTTGCCGGGGAGGCATGAAGTCGCTGGAGGTCTAAACCTGGGAGGTTGAAGCCGCAGATGACTATATATATGTCGAGTTTATGCCAAAGCAACATAGGAAGTAAACCAAATTCATAAACACCCTAACTTTTTCTTTTTCTGCTTATTCTTTCTTCTGTTTGCCTTAGTTTCAGAAACTTTTTGAAGCATGGATCATTCAAAGAGAAACCCTAACTTTGAGCGAAGGTCCTGCGACCTGTGTGAAGCTCCCTGCGCATGTGAATCACCCTCCCGGCATGATTTTGATCATCATCTTTGGAACCCTAATCCGAACCACCCACATGGAGACTCGCGACCTCCACACCAGCGAGATGAGCCCTATTCGCCACACCTGGTGAAACGTCGACCATCTCATCCTCTTCCTCATCAGACAGAACTATGAGAAAAATAGACTTAACATCCTGATTAATCGATTGGAAGCCAAACTGAATCAGTTCCTTGCCTCCCAAGCCCAAATCAATGCTGCCCTGCAAACAAGAATAGATGACATGATCATCGGCCTTGACCAAAGGTTTGATGAACTCTCTGAGCATGTGAAGACACTGGAGGATTAGAGAACCAAAGATAACGACGTGTTAGACCAGAGGATAAAGTCTGTTAGGGAAGAACAAGACAAAAACAAGTTCAGCATCTGGCAAAACGAAAGGGAGCTGCAAACCCTAACCTTTAAGATCGATGACTTGGATAAAGAGCTGAATGAGAGCAAAAACCAGACATACGACTACACATTTGAGCTGTGGCAAAGCGTAGCAAAGGTTGAAAACAAGACAGAAGAGCTTGATGCTACTTTGGATAAGTAGAAGAGAAAATTGAAAAACTTTCTAAAGATCATAAGGAGTGTGATCTGAACTCTGGAATCAATGATTTGGATACCCAATACATGCCTGACAACCACTGGAAGCAAGAGAACAACAATGGAGAAGAAGAGATTGAAGAAGCAAGCATGGAGACCCGGAAGGAGCTGACCGCGGCTGCGAGCTCTTCACCCGCGGCCAGAGCCACTCCCACCGCGGCTCCGAGCTCCTCACCCGCGGTGGAGCATGATTTCTCATACTGGGAGAACTTTCAACCTCTTTTTGAAGCCTGTTCATCAGAAAACCGACCTCATGTGACCAGACCTAGGTTGTTTGATCAAGCTGTCTTCTCAATCACTGCACAAGAATCAAAGGAAAAGGAAGAATCCAACACTTATGCATCTTGCAACATGGTTTACACTTGTGACAATGAGCTTCAAGAGCAATTCTTAGAAGATGAAGAGTATTGTTTGTTTGTAAAAGATCCAAACTCTGGGGATGATTCATCTGATGACAACACAGAACCAATAACCAATAGCATATCGAGAGAGAGACTGATCGAATTCAACAAGTTTGTGAAGTCCATTCCTCTCTATCTCGCATTCGATGATGTCTGGAAGCAAGGCTGCCTTCAAGTCTTCTTTAGATACAGCAAGGAGACTAAGGAGAACATCTCTACATATTTCAGAAGAGCTAGGTATCTATCTTTTCCTAGATCATCACCTGATGCAGCTGTTTACAGGATCCATCTCAAAGATCCCCAAGAAGCCAGTGATTATACAAACAAGATAAGCAAAGAAGCACATGAAGAGTTCAACCAAGTAGTTCAGATCCTGCCAGAAGGAATTTCGTTTGCCAAAGCATGTAGAGACTACATGATAGGCCACTTCTTTTGTGACAGAAATGAGTCAATCCAAGAGATGAAAGACTTGTTCACACACGCCCAAGAAGGTAGACCAGCTCGAACTCTGCACAAAGTTCAAGACAAAGGTCAATTTCTCACTTTCTTACCAGAGAAAAATTGGTTTTCACATCACCAAGGACCTCCACTACAACCCAACTATTCATCCTCACCATCATCAGCATCAATAGGAAAGTAAGCAAGGGAAAGAAAGAAATAAGTGATGATGAAGAAGCTCAGGAGGATGAGCCAGTGATCCCTGATCTAAAGTATGGTAGTGAGAGGTATTTCTTCACTCCTTATAATGGAAGAATGCCTGAGCCCATTGCCCAAGCTCATCATCACACTAATCAGCTTCGAGGGTGGAACAAGTGGCAAGACAAGACAATCAGGAAGTGGTGAAATTGGTTAAGAGCTTGAAAAGTACTGTAAAGGGGATGAAGAGAAATATCAAGGAGCTTAGCAGCAAGGGAGAAAAAGGAGAAAGCTCCCAGCCCATCAATGCTGAACCGCTGCAAGCTAGAGAAGGTGTAGGAGAGAGTTCTGAGCAAGAAGGACAACTAGTGGTATTCATCGATCATGAGTCACCTGAGGAGGAGCTAAGGGCAAGGCGAGATACAATGAGATCACCCTCATATCAGTCCAGCAATCCATCATACTCACTGGGGTCTCCAACCCCACCTCCAAGTCCATGAGAGGTACCAACTCCAACTTGTACATAGCATTTTTCATTTTATTTTTCTTTCTCATTTTGGATTTTGAGTTTGATCTACACTCCTTTCTTATGCTTTTATAACACAAGGGACTGTGTTATTTAAGTGTGGGGGGAAGAGTTTAGTATTGCTAACCATGTTTGTTCTTGATCTTATTTTCCTTTTCAATTTGAGTCTGCATCGAAGTGCATATAAAAAACAAAAAAAATCAGAAAATCAGAAAATTTTTCACAAAACAATATTCATTTAGTTGCATTCACATTTTTAGGATTGAGTCTAGTTGCATAATCATGTAGGTTGCATCATTGCATGGGAGTGATGATACGTTTTTAATTCAGTTCATTGCCCTAGTTTCTAATTCTTTGATGCATGCAAACAAGAAAGAAATCAAGATTGATCGACGATTGGAACTTGTCATTCATTGACTTTGTGTTGAGTGAATCAAGCTTTGAATAGTTCCAGCCTTGTTTAAGTGGAAACCATAATTTGACAATCCAATTATCATGTTTGTGCATGTCATTATGAACTCATGGGTACCTTAAAATATTTGAGCTTTCTTATCCATTTTTACCACTCTTTGCTAGCTCATATAGCTGTTCTCTCATCTCGAGACAGTTCCCTTCCTTGAAACAAACCTTCTTTGAAGCCAAAAACCCCTAGTGTGTGCATTTGTGTGAGGTCTTGTTCTAGTAGACTCGGTAAATGGTGTTGGGTTTAGA